AGATTTGTTACCTTCAACAAAGAGAATAAAATGTGACGAAACTCTTAAAGCAATGGATGTTGAAAAATCATCAAGTGCATTAGTTGAGGACTCGGAATGTTTGCCGGATGGCACACTAAACATGGATAAGCTGCTGCCGCCAGATGTAGTGATGAAGAGAGAAGGGGAAACGGAGGAGGAGAGGCTTAACCGCCTGGTGATGATGTTCTGTCAAGATTGTAAGCTCAAGTACAGGGACCCCAAAGAAAGTGAGATGAGAATCTACCTGCATGCTTTGAGATACAAGGTGAGCTGCCATTTTTATATATGAGGCCTGTCAGATTTTCTTTGACAAAAAAAACAGTTGTATGCCATTAATATTAATATGGTCAAGATGTGATGTCATCATGACCATATTTAGGCATGTCACATGTTGTCAAATAAAATTTGATAGTCTGGATAGAGATTTATGAATATTATAATTAATAATAATAGTAGTAATAATAATAAGATATACTGTAGTATTATTATAATTAATAATAGTAATAGTAATAATAACGAGTTATATCATGGACTATAGAGCAAGAATGCAAATGCTTCAGTGCACAACAACACATACACTCAATAAGAAAACAAAGGAGTGGGGAGGGTGTGGAAAGAAGGCAAGGAAATGATCTGTCAGGCCCCTTCTCTGAACTATATGACAGATAGAAAGAGGAGTGGAGGAATGTGACACTTAAACAGTAAATAGAGAGTTAACACTCTCTCAGTCCTATAGATGTGTCCTGTAGATTATCATAGCTGATTAATAATAATAATAATTAATGAAAATATTAAAAAGTAATGGTTGACTTACAGAGTGCATATTGTAGCAACCTCTATGAGCTTAACATTATTACCCCCGGTCATTGGATCAAGCACATATATAAACCCATACACAGGTCCCTGGGGAGACTTCCATAATGTTGCAGCTGTAATCAGCGCAATTTTAGTGTTCGAACCCACCAGGTACCCAGTTGTACTCGTGGGTGGAGAGGCACAACCGTAATTAAAGTGCCTTGCATAAGGACACAACGAAAGACACAGCGAGGGATTGAATCTCCAACCTCAAGGTTGAGAGACAGAACTGCAACCGTTGCGCCAAACTGCACATTTAGTTCATGAATGATGTCATTACTTTGTATTCAAATTCAATTCTTAGCAATAAATAGGGAAAGAGAAAGAATAAACTGCCAATGTAATTTTTTATGTTATAAAATTACATTGTTTTTTTTTTTTTATTTCAGGGTCCAGATTTTGATTACAGTACAGAAATGCCAAGTTGGGCGCAAGAACATATTGATAAGTGCAAGGAAAAGTCAAATTAATGTACTTAACTGTACTTATTTCAATAACCAATCATTTGCAGAATTAAAAATGTCTTTAGTGATATACAAATTCAACATGGTTTCGATTGTTGTGAATTCTAAATCTACTTTTCAAGGTGTTAGCAGATTTGGACTAACTGGAAATATGGCCAAATAATAAAAAATATTGTGTTGGCCATGCCCGACCGACCCAAAATGTACAAAATTGAGGTTAGGTATTTTATTTATTTATTTTTTTATCTTTGTTGTATTTTTGTGTATTTTCTTCTTTTTAGGCATAAACACATTATTGGAAAAACAAAGAAAAAAACTTTTGCTACCGACCCTCCCATTTTTTTTTTTTATTCTTCCAAAACGTGGCCAACACAAGATTTTTTTTTTGGCCTAAAACCAAACATGGAATACCAATAATAAAAAATGCTCACGAGCTCAAGTATTGGAAAATACGCAAGCAAATTATGAGGGCGCCCTTTTATTTTAGTACTACAGATATAATTTTGTGTATCTCTGAATAAACATAAGTAAACTTTGCCTATATCTGTAACATTATTTCCAGGGGTGGCCCCAGCGGGGAGAGAACCACAATTCGTCGGGGTAAAAAAAGAATGTACATGTATTTTTTACATGTTAGTAGACTCAAAATCGATAAATAAGCCTTTGAAACCCCTTAATTGTCATATTTTTCGTGGGCTTGCCCCACCCCTTCTCCTACCCTTGAACACTTTCAAGGGATTTTGACTGACACCCGACCACTTTTGTCGTCGGGACACCGGCCCTTCCGTCTGGCAAATCCTGACGCCAGCACTCATTATTTTGTAGTCAAAAACTTCTAATGTGAAGAAAATGGATACAAACACAAAATATTGGCGTTCTAAGAATTAGGAACATGAGCTATTTCGGTGTTACTTATATATGCTTTTAAGAGGCTTCTAATCCAGGCCTTTAACGGTTGGGGGGAGGGGGTTGTTCTATGGCGCTCTTGAATCCCATCCCATCAAAGCCATAAAAACGATTATAAAATTACCCATTTACTTGTGCTAGAATGTTCCAGGTTCAGAGGCATCGTGCCCTGATCCCCAGAAGAGCTGAACCACACTAGGGCGCTTATGTTCCCCTTGACCTCTGTCTCAGAAAGTCCCAATTAAGGAATCCTGTTCATAGGCCTATGATCACATGGTAGAGAAATTAAACATAACATTATAATTACATAAAATCACAAAACAATACTGAAACTTAAACAAGAGGTCGACAAAGAAACAATCTAAACCCAGACTTCCCAAACTTTTTCCTCTGGGACCCAAGTTTTGACATCCCACTCTAGCCACGACCCACCTAATAATTCGATAGTAAATATGTACACCAAATTTATTAAGATCCCTGAAATTTAACTAAAGAATGAATATTCGACATGGATATAATATATATTTTATCAGCGACAGATCTAAGAATTCGTAATAAAAGGGCCCAGGGAGGGAATATTACAGATAGAGGGTGTGCCCACCTCAGCCCCACCATGGTTTGGAGCTGAGGTAAGAAATTTTAGGATTATGCTACGTTTAGATGGCTGGAAATGGTACGCTCAGATTAAAATTTGAATACTTTTTTTTCGCAATATTTTTTTTTCCAAAAATGTAAGTTGGAGTGGGGGCAGGGCGGCTGGTCCCCACCCATTTGGACCAGCCATTGATTATTGTCCCTTTACGCCGACGTGGCAAAATGAGACTTTTAATAACTGACCCAAAATCTCAAAAATACAGGATCGGCTTTTTTTGCAGATTATTTTCGATCTTTAAATAATATATTTGATAAAGTTAACCACAAGGCTAAAATTAAAGGTCAACTTTATATCAATCAACCAACATACATGGGTATAGGTTATACCCATTTTTTTTTTTTTTTTTTTTTTTTTTTTTGGAAAAATGCTGTTCTTTAAGGTAACACGACAGCGTTTCTTTTTTAAGTTCATTCCAATATTTGTTAATGATTACATTTACACAGTTATATTGTAGTAAGATATAAGATAGCCTATTCATTGTGGGCATATAATAAAATATTGTTTTAATGAGGATTCACCAAAAATACTGTTTTCAGGTCGTCAGATCTGGTAAAACTTTACATCAACCGTATAATTAGCACATGAATTGAAAATTTGTGTTTTTAAAAGTTTTTAGCAAACCTGCTCGCGACCCAACTCAAAAGTTTGGCGATCCACTTTTGGGTCGCGACCCATAGTTCGGGAAGCGTTGCTAAACAATCGAATTTGATGTGCACATCGCAATTCAAACCCAAGAATTATAATCCTAAACCCTCTCTTTCTCTTTACTTTCCTGCTGACCTCTTCCACGATACACGTATCACTCCATCCATCGACACAATCTATTTTAACTTGCATCTACTATCAATCCATCTACAGACCCTAATCTAACTTCCCTTTACTATCAACTGATTTTGAGTATGATTAAAATTTTCTCCTAAAATAAATTGCTCAGCCAGTTTGACTTCTACTGTGGCGAAATGTAGCGGCTGACAGAAACATTTTACATTCCAATGAGGTCGATTACATGCTGCAACAATTGTAACCAGAAAGAGTATATTGAAATGTGCCAAGCTGTTTTGAAAACGCAAAATCCGATAATTATCACAAATCGTTAAATGACATTATTGTTAGAACATTGGATTTGGGTCTGATCCACGCTGATATTTATTGTCCCAAAAAAGAAATTCGGGTTAGTAGACAGCATGGGCGCAGATCATGGAGGGACGGGGGGACACGTCCCTCCCCCACATATTTTTAAGGGGATTGGTTCCCCCACTTTGGGAAATGTGATTTCATAAGTCAAAAAGATGACTGAAAATTGTTGAAATGACACATTTTTTAACGAAATAGCCCTGTACAGGCAGAATACATCTTATAACAAGATACCAGTATCTCAAATATAAAAGATTACCTATAGGCCTACACGACTTGAGAGCGCGTGCCTTTATTATAATTTGAGAAGTATGAAAAAAAGCGTGTAAGATAAGATTGGTTTTCGGCACATGAAGTAGGTAAAGTAAATACATCAAAGACAATGTTTTAAAGCTTTACTTTCAATGGTACATCACACAGATTAGGCCTATTTAGATCTCTATGACTGCCGAAAATTCTTGTTGAAATATGAGAAATTTGTTGGCGCTTCATTTTGACTATAAATGAATTTTACTATATAAGAGTGTTTCCGGTACTATTTTCTCAAATTTTCGCACCTCAGCCTCAACCATGGTGGGGCTGAGGTGGGTATGTAGTCTCACAGAATGTTCCCGCCCCCAACCTTTCAAAACAGATTTGCGCCCTTGGTAGACAGAACTCGTATTAATCACAGACAAAACAAAAAGGTGGTATTTTGAAAGAGGGGGAGAATTGAAAATCGCCAGACCACCGGGCGGTGCAATCTCAAGTAGGCCTATTCCACTTTTATAAAGTTTTATCTCTCCCGGGTCAATGAATGAACGGTACCCTATCGAAATATGGATGCACGCCAGATTCACGCGAGAAAGCATAAGCCAGTTAGATATATTTATTTATTGATATCCCTAACAAAAGCTCATAAACGGGTCATTGGCTTGTGTATTTCGTAATCGGTTACAGCTGGTTACAGTATTGTACAACCAAGGATGCCGAAAACAGTACAAGAGCAAGCTGTATCGTTTGTAAAAGATCTGGCGGCCGGTGGGGTTGCCGCTGCTATTTCAAAGACTGCAGTAGCTCCCATCGAAAGAGTCAAGTTGCTTCTACAGGTAAAATTTAACAATTCCATTTACCGTTACGATATCAAAACCCTGTCGAAACTGAGAGAGGACAGGAGACGAGGCTGATACCAGTTGGTAAAGGGTTGTGGCATATAATTCTGACTTTCAGAAACAAACGAATCGATTCAAAGTAACCGAACTCTGAAAGTAGGAAAGTCCTCCAACAGCGGTGTGTATCTAAGAATATTAGGCCTAAGTGAGGAGTTCAGGTTCTAGTGGTTAAAGCCGACCTCCTAAGGACCCCGCAGCTTGAGACGCTCAGCGTCAGTTAAGAGCAGGGTGGGGGATAGAAATGTACGGTGGCGCGCTAGTTGCAAAGGGGATTTTTAACTATTGTTGTCTATTGGGGTTGCGACCGAGGCACAATTCCATTTTTTTTTTTTTTTGGAGGGAGGGAGGGAGGTGTGCTTCATGCCCTCCAAAGATACGCCTCTGGTTCCAGATTTGCAGGCGCTAAAGTAACAGAAAATGAAGAAAAACCGCGACAAAATTGGTCTACCTGAAACTAGGAAAGAATAAAATTAACGGGGCTTAGGCCTAAGTTGAATACGACAGGGCTACGTGTGCACGGATGATGACTAATCAAATCAGTATAATATAACAATGTTTGTGTTGCATGTTGCAAGATTGCATGTTGCAAGAGTAAAACTGCAGCTCTATGCAAATGTATACGTAAACCTAATCCATCCTGTCCTAACTTTCAATGTAGGGGGACATCATATCAATTGTCGCCCCACCCACCACTTTTCGTCAATCTTATACTTTTCAAAGCGAATGAAAAGAACAACACCAATTAGGCCTACGAATGAGTGTCATAATTGTGTCTGTTCACTTGTGCTCTCTTCAAAGTGCGGTGCGTATTTCCGGACCAAAACCGAGTAATAAAAAGGACGGAAAGATGAATTCGTAAACATATCTACGACTTGTTAAACTTCAAAGTTCAAATCGAGCAAACAGAAACCATTACACTTGGTCATTTATTGCCAACACGTATTTCGTAATCGGTTTACATTAAGTAGGCCTAGAAAAAAATCTGATGTACAAGCTGACTAGCTTAATTTTCTGGTGTTGAGCTGTACAGGGGTGGCCCCAGCGGGGATGGGAGGGGCAGCACCCCCACCCCCCTGTCGGGATAAAAACCACAATTCGTCTAGAGAAAAACAATTTAAATGTATTTTCTGCATATTAGTAGATTAAGTAAGCCTTTGAAACCGCTAAATTGTCAAATTTTTCGGGGCTCCGCCCCTTGGGTGGTTCCCGACAACGCCCACTTTGCTCTCGCTGGGGACATCGGCACACGTCGGAGACCTCAGACCGCCGTCTGGCAAATCCTATCTAGGAGTTACTTTAATTTCGCAACCGGATTTCACTTTTTGGTTTGAATTTGTTCAATTGCCCTTGGAACCAGCGAAATATTCACCGTAGTGTGAACATCAGAAGAAATCTTTAAGATCCAATGACAGTTGTCGTGGGTCAGCTTGAAGTCCTCGGGATAGAGGTTTGGTATCTCCTCAGAAAACTGCCAACTGAATTCCTAAATTGTAATTTACTGTATATACGCCCGAAGTGAGCCTTGAACATCATTGTGCGAAAGCTGGGTCACCAGTGGCGTAACGCATGCGCTCTCGTGCGGTGGTACTCGGGGCCCCCCACCCCGAGGGGCCCATAGGGTTTTCAATCTAACACCCTGACCCAAAAGGGTTTTGTTGATACATCACAACGTAATGTGTCTCTGACATCGACTGTAAAGCACGACAGCGTTTCATTCCAATATTTGTTAATGACTACATTTACAC